TATTCAAAGTTCTTTGTATCATATTGGGAAAAAACAAATTATGGACTAGGAAATGGTATGAAAAAGTTATTAGCCTCCATGAGTTACTATTTCAGGCACACAAACAGCTCTGAACTTTTTGGAAGATTATCACTGCATCAGAATAGAAGAAGAAGAAGAGATTGTCTTTCCCTTCCCCTCCCCACAACAGACACCCTGTGAGGTGGGTGGGGCTGAGAGAACTCTGACACAAACTGCTCTTTTTCAAGGACAGCTGTGCCAGAGCTTGTGACTGACCCAAGGTCACATCAGCAGGTGCAAGTGGAGGAGTGGGGAATCAAACCCGGTTCTCCCAGATTAGAGTCCGCGCACTTAACCACTACACCAAACTGAATATGTCGACTGATGCTCAAGTTCCAATAATTCGTATACAACAGATGTGAAAGCAGCATATTCTGATATACTAAAGGTCTGTAGTCTTCCATTACCTGTATCTGTAGCAATTAAACATCAAGAGTAACAGGGAGGAAATATTACTTAAAGCTGGTGAGTGCCTTAGTGGTTAGTGCCCTGATCGTGCCTGTCTTTCTGCTAATGTCCCACCATGTTCTGTGGATTTTATTTCCCTAGCAATAAGAGTTACAAACGAAAATCTTACTGTTGTCCACCCTGCAATAACGCAAAAGGTACCAAACTAAGGGTGCAGGGCCGTGTCTATTTACTTGGAAGGAACTCTAGGATGCGTAATGCAGGCTCATGCTATAACGGCACAATCCTAAAACACAGACAACCAGGGAATCAGCTCCACTCAATCCAGTGGGTTTTATTTTTGAATAAATTTGCTTAGCATGGTGCTGAATGCTATTTATCCGCCCTCAGAGGATCTGCACAGACACTTGTATACTTGAGGAAAACATGCACACAATCATTCGCTTCATCGTCAGAGTACAAAGGATGCAGAGACCAGGATGCACAGGTGTAGTTATCACTGTATTTTTAGCAAAATGCATGCCATGTATATGTGCTGGTGTTTAAGTCAGCTATCTGCTGGAGAAACAGTTTAGTGGGTATGTTAATCACCCAGCTCCTCCTCACTGGCAAGAGGATTGAACAGGGAGCAAACCACCACATCATCAGGATCAGGAGGCAGTTAACAATGTTCAAACATGCTTTCTATAATAGCAGCATAGACAACCATACCACTAATGTGCACACAAAACCACAAGACAAATGTATAAAGACATTTGTCGCTGTAATGTCCACAGTCACCCCAAGATCACATTATTTACTTACTCTGAAACAGTCCTAACAACTTTGTTGGAACCACCACAAAGATAAGTCACTCACAGAAGTCTAAATGGAGCACCCGGTGAAGTTACATTCATGGAGATGCGTGACTTGAATACAGACCTCCAAACCTCAAGTCGAGTTCTCCATCCACTGATGCAGAAGAAGACAGAAGAAGCTACAAATCAGGTAGCTAGGTGGTCTTGACCAGGACTTACTCATCTATGCTAAAAACTTGCACTAATTATTATACAGACTGGTTACAATATTCCTATCCACAACAATATTCCAGTCCAGAATGGAGAGAAAAAATCCAATACCTGAAATAAGGCTTGTCTGGAGACATTATAATCTCTAGCACCTCGCTGGTCATATCGAGTTCAGAGAATGCCTCTCGCAGCCCTTCCGATTTCAAGATAATTTTGTTCACGACGTTGGTGCTGCAGAAATCAAAATCAAGTATTTCTTCGGGCTCTTGAGTGTTGATTTTACATACTGTTACCACACCACCTTCCTCCAGAAACAGTGCCAAGGGATAACCATACCCCCGGTAGCACATCCGAAGGGCCGTTTGTGTTCCTGAAACAAGAAGAGACACTTAGAATGCATCAACTACAATGCTGAGGTTCTAAGACTCTCAAGAACTGATTCTTGACCAACTCGTTTAAACAATGCCAGGCAGTCTGCAGCCAACGTATTTGAAATGCACCAATGAAAGAGGTGTTTCGAATCCACCATTCTTTGACATTAAATATACATCTGATCTCCTTCTTATTAAAATGTGAAATTTGCTGCTGGAGGATGTAGTGATGGCCACAGGAATAAAGAGCCTTAAAAGGGAATTAGATAGAATCATGGAGGATGAGTGTATCAATGGCTACTAGCCAAGGTGACGGACAGGAGGCATTTAATCCTCCAGATCACAGAGCCAGGAGGCAACATCAGGGGAAGGCCTTGGCCTCTATCCGCTGTTGTTGACTGTCCAGAGGAACGGGTTGGCCACTGTGTGAGACAGGATGCTGGACTAGATGGACCACTGGTCTGATGCAGCAGGGCTCTTCTTATGTTCTAACATTCTAAGGTAGACAGGTTTCAGCACACAGCAGCATCTGGTTCTTTTTCCCATAAAGCACACATATAGCCAATACCTGGCAAGGAGCTTGTACCAAAGATAGTCAGGCAGTCTAAGAGAACAGACAGATTGATTCTGAACATCACAGATTCTTCCTGCACCACAAATTCTTGGAAAATTCCTGCCTGTATGTTTGAAAGACAGAGAACAGAAGGTGGAAAACTGTGAGGTGACAGCACTGTTGAAGAACTACAGTTCCCAACATTCATTGCAAGGGAAGCCACAACAGTTAATCTGCACGGTGTAATGGTTAAGAGTGGCCATTTCCCCATTAGGAATCCAAAGCAGCTTACATTGTTCTCCTCTCCTCCATTTTTATCCTCACAACAACCCTGTAAGGTAAGTTAGGTTGTGACAGTGTGACTGGCCCAAGGTGTCCCAGCAAGCTTCCATGGCATGAGTGGGGATTCGAACCCAGGAATCCCAGATACTAGTCCACCACCGTTAACCACTGCACCAGACTGGCTCTTTTCAGAATACCAGGATGCTAGCTGTCAAACCTGCGCCAAATACTCAATTTTGTACTAATCTAAAGTCTACCAGCTTGGGAACCAATGGCCAGATCTCTCCAATGCTGGCTTTAAAGATTCTCTGCACTGACATTAAAACACTCAGGGACACCACAGAAAGTTTAGTTTAGCTTGTCAGAACACTGTTCTCTCCTGCGGGAATTTCACAGGATAGAGAAAATGGTTATTTATTTCAGCTGAAATCAGTTTCTCTGTCCATTGGAAAGAATGAAAAATTACCCTCTAACCTGAATAAAAGCATTTGCCTGAAGACACTTGGAATTTTCCACAGTCACCTTGAGTCCATTCGTAGTTGCAAAACAGGTAGCGTGGTCTTTAAAATGAATGGCTTTCAGGATATTAGAGAGATTTCGGACGTTGTCAAGGCTGGTGGCCAAGACATATTGCTCTTCGGCTGCTTGCTCTTGGGTGGAGAGAGGCATGGCTTTGAAGACTTCCGTCACCCCCTACACCTTCCTACAAGGACAGAAAAAAAGAGGGTCCAGTGATTATTAAGGGAGACCTGCAGATGTCCCAACGCACTGACCTAAAAGTGAATTGTCATGAATTATGCAAAGCAAATACAAAGTAGTGGCAATTACAGAAATAAGAGTTTGTTGGTTTCCCCCAGGAAAAATGACTCAAGAAGGTTTGGTGTTTGTCCTCACCTAAGATGTAAGTTTAGGTAAGGAAGGGAAACAGACTTGACCATACAACCCACATACGACATCACCTGCTTTATCTCTTATAACCACACAAGTGCTGTCAAGCCGTGGCTGACTTGTGGCAACCCCAGCAAGGGGTTTAAAAGCCAAGTAAGCAAAGGTGGCTTGCCTTCTTCTGCAGAGTCTTCCTTGGTGGTCTCTCATCCCAGTAGCGACTCTTCTTTTCTTTTGAGATCAGGCTGTACCATACCGTTCCACATTCCCCTTCTATATCCAGTGTGGTTTATTTATAGACTGTATGGTGGCTAGAGTGTTGAAGTAAGATCACCAGGAAGGTCTGGTATTCATTCAGACACCAAGTTCACTGTGTGCGCCCTTGCGTCTCTCAGACTAACCTATTCCACAGGACTGTTGTGAGCACCCATCACCCACCTCCAGTTCAATTTCTTGTTCTGGCATTAAGTATCGGTTCAGGCTTCATATTAAAACTCAGGCCTGAAATATGGGGGGAAGAGATCAAAAGGAAAATATCTGTTGGCTTGTCACGAGGAAGTTCACACATCTGACTTGATGCCTTTGAATAACAGTGACAAGGAGACACACCGTTTGTCGATGACCGCACACCTCACTCTTTCTGCTGAGGCTTATTTTACACTTCAGAGAGAAGCATCCTATCATCCACTGCTTCTCTGCTAAACCATCTGGTCGCTGCTGCAGGTCAAGAAACTTCAAAGACCTGGCTTTGGATTGGCTGGATGGCCCCCAGCTGATTCAGCCTTTAGACTTAAAAGAAGCTAGCATGTTCTGCTGTTTTTTGTTAGTTGGAGCAAACCAGCTTCACTTCAAAGACCTGGCTTTGGATTGGCTGGACGGCCCCCAGCTGATCCAGCCTTTAGACTTAAAGAAGCTAGCATGTTCTACTGGTTTTTGTTAGTTGGAGCAAACTAGCTTCAGCTCTCCTGGAGGCAATGGACTAACTCTGGCCTGGGTTAGACATGGGCCTGGCATGCAAAGAAGACTTGGAATGATTGCCCTATTTCACCCAAGAAGCGGGGCCCCCCCCCCCCCCGGTTTGTGAGAGCTCACACTCTAGGTTGGTTGTGTAATTTTGAGCCCTGCTCACCAAACCAAGGATCCTCTAGATTGGGAATTCGTGTCACCATCCACCTGTTCATCTTTTTTTTTTGTTTAATCCCACCCTTCCTCCATGGAACTCAGGGCAGCCCCTGTAGTTCTTCCTGTCTCAATTTTATTCTCACAACAACTCTGTAAATAAGAATAGGCTGAGCAAGGGTGAGTGGTCCCCAGGAAACTTTATGGCTAAGTGGAGATCCAAAGCCAGAGCTCCCTGGTCATAGCTGACCCTCAATAAATGAAGAGGTGGGGAAGGAAGAGGATAAATACATATTTAAACAAGACTTTTTTTGAGAAAGAGTGCTTTCTTGTTGTGGCACATATAGAGGTTTAACAACAACACTGGCACCTTGTTCTGTGTTTAGCGGCAGCGCCATCCCTTTTGAACAGTCTGCCAAAAGGGAGGTGAAGACTATTTCTTTCCTTCTGCAGTTCAGCAGAACTGAAAAGCTAAACTTTTAAAAACAGCCGCTGGTTGACCACTGCTTTTATACTGGCTCTTGTTGTGTGGAATGATGCTCTACTTATCTATTGTATACCGGATTTTATGTTTGGTGGGGAAGGAAGAGGATAAATACATATTTAAACAAGACTTTTTTTGAGAAAGAGTGCTTTCTTGTTGTGGCACATATAGAGGTTTAACAACAACACTGGCACCTTGTTCTGTGTTTAGCGGCAGCTCCATCCCTTTTGAACAGTCTGCCAAAAGGGATGTGAAGACTATTTCTTTCCTTCTGCAGTTCAGCAGAACTGAAAAGCTAAACTTTTAAAAACAGCCTCTGGTGGACCACTGCTTTTACACTGGCTCTTATTGTGTGGAATGATGCTCTACTTATTTATTGTATACAATAAACTCACTTTGTACTGTTAGAAAAAGCAGCACAAAATATATAAAATCAAGAAATCTTGGTATCACGGTGAGACACAAACATCCCCCCCCCCTATAGTTTTCTGCCAATACAAGGTTGTGCTGGAGCTGCTAAAGACATTGGCAGGACCCTTAGATGCTACTGCTGCTTGGTGCTACCGCCTCAACATTGCTTCCCAAAGACAACCCCGTGCATCGAGGACAATCACTTGGGCTTTTTTTAAAAAGCAAAGGGGAAAATTTAAGAGCACTGTGACAGCCAAAAATTCAGCAAGGACCCCTATCCTGAGGTTCAGGACAGCCGTGCTGGTTGCACCTCCACCTACCATCCTCCTCCAAGTTGTACAGTCTACCTAAGAAAGAGAAAGATTCAGGTGGGTAGTAGCCGTGTTGGTCTGAAGCAATAGAACAAAGTCAGAGTCCGGTGGGACCTTTAAGCTCAACGGAGTTTAACTCCGGGTATAAACTTTCATGTGCATCTGAAGTCTGCATGCACACGACAGATTATGCCCAGAATTAAACTTGTTGGTCTTACAGGTGCCACTGGACTCAGACTTTGTTCTAAGAAAGAGAAGTCCTTCAACCCACCGAAAACATCTAAGAGTACTACTTATTCCTACCCCACATACATCGTAGCAGGCGTGATTCTTCTCCTCTCCTTAGTTACCTACACTGCAGAGAACCTATAGACAGAAAGCACCTAGAGCGGCACAGAACGGGAACCGTCAACAAAAAGGGAAGCCGCCACGAGTAATTTGAGCCCAGGCGTCTCTCTGTCCTGTGGCCTCTCTATGGTACTAGATCAACCGTGCATTTCCGATCATCTCTATGGGGGCATCCATCTTGGTCGGGAAGCGTCCGTAAAGATTTACTGTGGGATTTTAGGGTGCCTATCGATAGAAGCGCCTGGGTAGAGCTCTGCTTGACTCGCTTCCCCTTCGCCCTCAAAGCGCCTCCGACTTAAAATCGATCGGGTTTCCCGCCATGGCTTCCCTTGGCGCGTGCTATGCCATAGATATATATGGCACGGGCTAGAGCGGCTCCACCGTGAGCCCAGGGGCCGCTTTCATTTCCTCTGCCGGAAGTCCGGTTTCTTCTCTATGATTTACTTCCTCCACGAGCGCCTCCGAGGCACATAGAGAGAGCTCCTTACTAGAGCGGCTTCCATGCTGTGAGTGAGGGGGCGCGTTGCTTGTGGCGTGCGAGCAAGATGGCGGCGGCCAAGAGGAAGCGTGGAGCCGGGCCGGGTCCGAAGAAGAAACGTGCCAAGAAGGCTCCGAAAGAGGTGGAGGAGAAAGAGCCGTTCTCAGTGGCCAGTGCAGGGTCCGAGGAGCACCAAATCCCTCCGCCTGTTTCGCAGGTGGGGCCCGACAGCCGCGTTTGCTCGGGAATGGAGGAGGAGGAGTGCCTCTGAGCGTGTCCAAAGGGCGCTTCTTAGAAGACAGGATTTCGAACGGGGAGGGTTAATGTTACTCGGTACTTTCTTGAAACATGTCTTTTTGGTATCTGAAGAAGTGTGCGTGCACACGAAAGTTTATACCCAGAATTAAACTTTGTTGGTCTGAAAGGCGCCACGCTTTGTTCGGTTGCTTCAGACCAACCCGGCCACCCACCTGAATCGTTTCTTTTTGTGTTTGTTTAGTGAGAGTCTGAGAAACAGACGCAGGTGGGTATTTATTCCCTTCACTACGCTTCCCCCCGGAATTAAACCCAATCAACATATAAACTAAGTTTATTATTCCCGTTTGGTCCTTGCATCTGTTAAAGATCTTTATTATGCTGTGAAAGAGCTAGTTTGCTGCTCATTCTCTACCTATATGTATGGATCGGTCATTTCCATTCCATGGTATCTGAGGAAGTGTGCATGCACACAAAAGCTTATACCTTGAATAAAACTATGTTGATCTTAAAGGTGCCACTGGACTCGGAACATTGTTCTGAGAAATAGACAAATACCATCGGTTGCCACATTGATGCGTTAGGACAGTCTCCTTCTGCAACGTGGGAACATAAGTAGATCCTGCTGGATCAGGCCATCCTATCTCTCCCAGGGCATAGAATCTGAGGTTTTTCCATGATGCTACCTCCCAGCAGTGATATCTGGCAGCTCCCTTCAGTCACCATGGCTAGTAGCCATTGATTGACCTCTTCACGGATCTGTCTAATCCTCTTTTAAACCTATCTGTTCTCATGGTCATCACCATGATAAAAGGGATGTAGTATCCATCAGGAACCACCAAAACAGTGATCAGGCTTGGGAGTTCTACTACACTCTTGTCAAGAATGATTTTCTCCCCCATTAAGTTCCAGCTGACTTATGGTGACCCTGTAGGGTTTTCAAGGCAAGAGCTGAACAGTGGTGGTTTGCCATTGCCTGCCTCTGCGTAATGACCTTGGACTTCCTTGGTGGTCCCCCATCAAAATACTGACTGTTAAGAGCAGATTTTAAAAAGTGGCGGGAGTGATACACTGGGCTTTTTATGTTATGTCATGAAATACTGGGCTGTGATTATTTGGGCACTGAGAGAATTGTCTGTGTGTATATACCAAGGAACTGTTTTTGTTCTCTGGTTGAACCTTGGTTGTTGAGCTATAAGCCTTTCTAAACTGTTTCACTTTTATCAGTTACACGGGGTGTCTTTGGGGTAACAAACTGAAGACTCGTATGCCAAAATTTTGTATTTGTATAGTAGTATATGCTTGGTTGGAACATCCGGTTTTCAGAACATTTCTATTAGTGTTCCTATTTTATTAGCACTTATGGCTGAGGATTGCCCAAGGTTGTCTAGTGATTTCATCCATTAAAGTCAGTGGGTTTAGAGAGTTGTAACTCTTTTTAGGATGGTACTGTTATTTACTGATGTGGTCTGATGTTCACCCTGTTCACATTTGCCTTTATATATTTCAGGGCAAATGGAGAAACAAAGAGAGAGTGCTTATTTTTTCTTCCAGAGGAATAGATTTCAGGACCAGACATCTCATGAAAGACTTGCGAACACTGATGCCCCATTCTAAAGCAGGTAGACCTTTTAAAAACTCTTCTGAATCTTGATTTTTAACTTTCTCTTTAGTTTCCCTTGCTAAGACCTGCAAGTTTCCATTTTCTTAACAATTGGATAAGCCTATTGCTGACTTCTATGCAAACTGGTGTATATTTTCCCCTGTTCTGCTTTTATTTCAAAGTAAACATTATGGAAACTATACAGATATAAAACTATGGAGCGCATAAAACCAGATGTGTCACTGGAAGGAAAAATCATAAAACTGCTACTGACTTATTTTGGCCCTGTCATGCGGAAGAACTCACTAGAAAAAGCATGGATTGGTTAGTGGCAAAAGGAAACCAGGCCACCAAAAAACACGGTGGCTAGACACCATAAAAGTCAACACCAGCCTGAGCATGGAACAACTCAAAGAAACAGTACAAGATTGGAAAACGTGGAGAGAGCTGGTCCATAGAATCGCCAAGAGTCAGACACAATTGAATGGCTAACAGCAACAACATAGAGATATAGGCCCTGATGCTCATGCAATTCCTGTCTTCTGCTGCTGGGACTGCCTGCACTAAATCCTCTTCAAAAGGCAGTTAGCTGTTTGAAAAAGTAGGATTTAGAATCTATCCTTCCTCCTTGGAACTCAGGATGGGAGGTGAAGTCCTTCCCTCTCCAGTCTTTCAATCCCCATGCCATGTTAGCTCATAAATCTGTGCATGTAACCCAGCAGCTGGCTTGAGGAAAGGATGCCATATTCCGTAGCCTGCCCAGTCTCTTACCCAGCTAGGGAGACGTGCATAGAAGCTATCTTAGGGTGACAAATTTCAACAGAAGCTTTAATAAAAGTAGATGAAATAATTCCATTGCAATATGTTGTTGATTGATGCAGTCATTAAACAAAGCAATACATATTTTAGTTAACTTTTGCCTCTTGTTTTTCAGATACCAAAATGGACAGGAAGGACAAACTTTTTATAATCAACGAGGTAATATATGTCAATTCTTTATTTGTTTGGAAAGAGCCTACCTAAGAGAAGTTTGGCTTAAGAGATAACAGAAGGTTCAAAGGGCTAGCCAGATGTTTATCAACATATGTCCAACTGTTGTGTCAAAGTTGGTATTTTTAGCTCCCTTTCCCACAACAGTTGGTATAACTTGCATGTGTGGTCCTGGAAGGTGTTGAGGTGCTTCAAAATTACCTCAGCGCAAGTATACTTTTCAGTCATACACTTGCAGTTTTACAGTGAACTGCACTAGAACTTATTTACAAAATCTGATTTTTAGGATTTTGTGCTAGGGTTGCATTGTGTGAAATGTGGCATGTGAGTAAAACAAAACATTACCAACGATCACACTGAATTCAGTTAGGAACATGTTTCTCAAAAGCTTATGCTGCAATAAAGTGTGTTACTCTTAAAGGTGCTACTGAGCTTTTTACTATTTAGTTAGGAACGATAACACTCATGAAAATCTGGCGCTTAAATTATATTTGTTCTGTGGGAATTTTTGGACTTTTCCTGCTGCAGCCCACTCTGCTCTCTGAAACTCATGTCCTGGGGATCGGTGGCCTGTAGCACAGCCGGAAGAATCCTGAGGATCCAAGCCAGTGTCCTTACAATTTAGGGGGGAAAAGTGTTGTATGGCAGATAATTTTTTTTAAATGGAAGTTTATTGGATTTCATTTTTGGAGGATCTCACATCAATCCTTGAGCCGATGGGTGTCCTGCTGGGGTGCTGCAAAACCAGGCTGGGCATGGCAGCATTAGGCAGTGGACTCAAAGGAAAGTGAACGTTTGTGATTCAATGGGCTATGTCAGAGCATTTCCATTTTGATGGTTCTTGCCACAGGCTAGCCTACACAGAATTAGCCCAACAGCACAGAAATTTTGTTGGAAAAATTGTGGGTTAGTAGCAGATTATATCCATTGTTGGTGGTACTGTCCTGTAATAAACAAATTTTGGAAACAAATTTTAATACAGATCAAACTTATTACCGGAATCGACTTACCATTTAGTCCAGAAACGATCTTGTTGGACGCTTGGGCCCTCACATCTGAAAATAGATCAAAAAACATTTCAGTAATGACTTTAATTGCGATTGCTAGAATAAGTGTTGCCCAAAAATGGAGAGACTCATCGGGCCCCACTATACCATAGTGGCAAAACAAGTTATGGGAACACTTTGTATATGGTAGGATCTCTCCACAGGGGAGTAATAATAACACAGACAAATATAAAAAAAAATGTCAAGCAGTTTGGTTCCCAGTAGTTGAATACCTGATTGAAGGGGGTGTTCTCCCTAAAAATAAGTATTATAGCTTGTTATATTTTTAACCTAAGGATCTTGGAACTTTAAATAGTGCAATGTATCTGTACGCTCGTTATTTTATTCGTGGCTTGGAACTTTAATAGTGCAATGTATCTGTACGCCCATTATTTTATTCGTAGTATTGTTGTATTGCTCCTGACTATTCCTAAAGACGTATATTATTTTCTTGTTTGTTCTTAAAAATTAATACAGTTATAAATTAAAAAAGAGAGAGCATTTCGATTTCAGCAACACTGATTTTCTTCATGCAGGTCTGTGAAATAAAAAATTGCAACAAATGCATCTTTTTTGAAGCAAAGAAGAAACAGGATCTTTACATGTGGTGAGGAACATACTAATGTTCTCCTTGGTGTCCTGATTTCTGGTGTCCACTTGGATATGTACAAAGTGCATGGGGAGGGGGGGCTCCGTTCATACTCTCGCTTTGCTGGATCCTTATATCATTCTTGTATCATAATTAATGACAGCTTTATAAGGCGACCAGGAAAATCAGGGAATAGTAGCAAGTATCATTTTCTGTGGCAGGGAGGGCTTGAAACGGCATCCAGGCATTTTCTCTGGACCCTTCAGCCTGACTCATGGTGCTCGCTGGGGCTTTGAAGGTACCATTTCTCACCCAGCACATGACTCGGAGCAGGAAGGGAGATGCACACTCAATGCAGAAGGTTGGGGTTCCCTCCCAGGGCACCCTTCTGCATGGGTGGGCTTATAAACTGCTGCCTTCTGCAACAGCAGTACAAATGAAATTCCAAATCCCCCAGTCTCTCCCTGTCCACCCAGATTCCTACTTACCCGTCTTTCACTGGCACTCCTACTTTTTGTATCCCATCCACTGTTTTTCTTTTCTTTTTGGGTAGAATTCCACCCTCCCCCCCTTCTGCCCAGTAGGGGAAGCCATTGCTAGGACAGTGCTGCTTCTCAGAGCAAAGTACTGACTGAGCAGCAGGTCTTTTACCTTTATGCAGCCTGCCTGGTGCTCTCTCTGAAATTAGGATGTGGTGTGGAAACCGTGGGGTTCCCCCCCCCCTCCTTCCCTTGTTGAAAGAAGGAAGGCACTGTAGCAGGGAAGTCTCTTCTGAGCAGCAACAGAATCCTTTGGAAAGCTGCAGGGTGGGCTTTTTCTGTCTCATCACCTGGGAGGTCTAAGATTGGAAATGAAAGAACCCCAGAAGCAACTTCCAGAAAACAGTGTGTGAAGTTGTTCTTTCTGGCTTTGTCCGGAAACCCTAGGTCCTTTTGCAACAGAACCCTGTTTCAAGTGCAGTGGAGGGTGAGACTTTCACTTCTCCCACAGGGCATTCTGTGCCCCCTTTCTAAGTTGGGAACAGCCCCGTGAGATGCCTTTAGAAGCCCATTTCCCTCTTTTAAGAGGGAGACTGGCTTTTTAAAGGTCTGCCACCAGGCTGTTTCTTGCTGGGAGGGGTATAATCACAGAGGCTGCTTTCAGAATATAGGCCTGACTTGGGCTGGCTTCTGAAGGAAGCAGGCATGGCAGTTCCTCCCTTCTTGGCAAAGGCAAAAAGGGAAACCTACAGAAATGTAGCCTATACCATGTGGCACTCTGGGGTCTACAAATGGGAGCTTGCATGAGGGTGGGTTTTTCTGGACATCAGTTTAGTGCTTATTTGCCATCCTGCCTTACAGGTCCCCCTTGGCTGCTGGGAGTTGTGTGTGTGAGAAGCCCTTTTGTGAAAGGATACAGCATTTCATATGGCTACCGCATTGCGCCAGATGCCAGTTGATAACTTCAAGAAAATAGAACTAACCTCTCGGTCTCTCGTCTGTTTCAGGCTTTCAAATGCCCCTCAAGGTCCATCAGCCAAGTTTTTAGTACAAAACAGTAAGTTCAAAAATCTGACAATGTCTCTTATTGATACTATCTTAAAAAAAACACCCTCTCTTAGTTGTCCTTTCCTGAACATCCTGCAAAGCCAAACGTCCCAATTGTACATTATGCCATTGCAGTTCATACGTTGGCAGAGCTGAAGATGACGGGCAACTGCTTGAGAGGCTCCCGCCCCCTTCTGTCTTTTGATTCAGTGAGTATGGATTTTTGCAAGTTACCCAGCCATCTTCTGTGACCTTGCCGCCAGGCATGTTAATTCATTTCCCTCTTCCCTTCTTTTGTTCTGTTCTAAAATGCTACCTCTTCCTTTCAGACTTTCGACCAGCACCCACATTATGCATTGCTGAAAGAGCTGTTTATTCAGGTCTGTTTTTAAAAAATATTTTGATTCTCCTGTTGTAAGCTAAGTTTTGTTTGTTTGTTGAGGGAGGGAGGGAGGCAGCGTGGTCCTTGTCTACACAGAGTGCTGATCATGATACTCAAACACACTAGAGAATATCTGCAACCAGCTTTCTGGAATCAACAGAAATTTCTGTGACAGCAGTGGGATTAAAGAGGTTGTGGGTGGTGGGAATGACATTTGTTTTGTTCTCCAAGAGCACTTCAAAGGGCAGAGATGTCCATTTTTCAGTGGATTGTACAAAATGTCACTGTCTTCCGCAACCTGTGGAATTACTCTCTGATTTATTTATTTTTAAAGTGCCAGCTGCTCTGATGCCTTTTTTCCCTCCACGTCCTCTGTGCTGCACAAACCCCTGGGCTAGGCAACTTAAAGTGTTATATCCAAAAGAGAGCTCACGGGAGGAGGTTGTATCAAAATACGAACACTCCGTGTGTAACTTACAAACAGAAGGTTATGCCAATAAAGGTTTTCTGTTCTGCTGTTACAAACAGAAGTAGAAAGAATATATTATCCAAAGCAATTTTAACAATTCTTAACAGTTCAAATATTTGTCAAATTCAGACACTCTTATGAATTATTAAAGGGTTAGGATCCAACAGTACTTAGCACAAAAGACAAAATCCAAGTAAAGTTCACTAATCTTTTGTATAAGACGCTTCAGAAGAGCAAAAGTTCCACAGGAAAACAAAAATTCCACATTGTAGGAATAGCAGCTATGCACGGCTGGCTTCAGTGCCGTGTTCGCTTCCTGCTTCTTTAGATAGCTGGTACTCTCTTAGCTGTGAAACTAAAAGTATATTTCTATGTCATACCTATTATTAACAGATTTACCATTTCCTCAGTTGTCAGAACATACATACATACTCAAAAGATAATGTAACAAATCACCTTAGACCAGTTTTCCAAATCCAGTCGCCCCACTAACATGTTGTTCTTTCTGTCGACAAAGCTTCTACAGTGTTGTGGTTAGCAATCAGGATTCTACTCTGAGTAACTCTGCTTCAATGTTCCCTCTAAGCTGTGGAATCTTATGAGCAAAAATCCTGCTTTGTGAGCGACTGACATTAAAGTTGTGAGCGAGCGATTTGGCTGCTGAATAAATTGGTTTGCTCTGGAGCCCTCCTTCCCGAGCCGAGACAAAAATGTGTGAGCTGGAGGCTAAAAACCTGTGAGCTGGCTCACACTAACTCAGCTTAGAGGGAACACTGCTCTGCTTACCCACCTCTTTTAATCAGTTCTGAAACTATAACATTGTAAAATAGGATTTCATGTACGGATGTAAGTAGTCTCAGAATATGGCCACTCCAGAGTGAATGGGCCAGAGAAAGATATTCTGCAGGCTGTGTTCTGCTCATCCAGATACTTTATTAAATCTCAGTTGTCTAGACAAGATTGCTATTCTTTTTCCCTCCACCAGATTTTTAGTACTCCACAGTATCACCCCAGGAGCCAGCCTTTTGTAGATCATGTCTTCACGTTCTCGATCATAGACCACAGGATCTGGTTTCGAAATTACCAGGTGAGCTGCTTTGTCTGTGGGATGGAGACGGCAAATGAACTTTGTTTGCACACCATGGGATCTGGTTGTAACACTCTGAATTGAAAAAAGAAATGCTGTCTGAACAGACCTAAATCCTTGTTGGGTGGCACAGACTAGCCTTTGGGCTTCCATTAGTGGTTAGGAGTGCAGAGTCTAATCTGGGAGAACTGGGTTTGATTCCTCACTCCTCCACATGCAGGTGCTGGTGTGACCTTGGGTCAGTCACAAGTTCTTTCAGAGCTGTTCTCTCAAGGGCAGTTCTTGGGAGACCTCTCTCGGCCCCACCTGCCTCACAGGGTGTCTGTTGTGGTGAGGGGAAGGGAAAGGAGATTGTAAGCTGCTCTTGGGTAGTAAGGCTCCTTTGGGTAGTGAAGGGTGGGGTATAAATAAAATCTCTTTCCTCCTCTCTCTTTTTTTTAATTCTTGGGTATAGCTGATAGAGAGCTAGAATTCTGTGTTTCCCTAATGGATTGTATGACATCGGAGATGCCACCTAGGATGGCATTTCATGATGTAGCAAAACTTAACAAAGACACAGAAACAGAAGAATCAGCAAAGTATGACCACAGAAATCTTCTAGAAACAAGCACGTGACCCGGGGAAGTACCTGATGCAAAGTGAATAATTCAGTGCTCCAGTTCTGGCTGATACTTGCAGCTGAGCACGATAACAAAGCTGCTTAAGAAATCATAACTTTACAATACCAACACGATTCTCAACTAAGTTACTAGTCCTTATTGTTGTGGAATTAAAAGGGGGGAAACAGTGATGAGAAAGGCTCAAGTAATACTTGATTAGAGCTTTCGGACTTCCTGTTTTCCAGTGGCTGGAAGCTGAGAAATTCTTCACACAGTATTCATCTCACCCGTTGAATCATCTCATTCTCTGAATGCCACTTACTTATCTTCAATCTATGCCTAAAACAGTAACAATTAAAGCTTTGGTGGTGGGGGTCAACACCCAGTTTTGAAAACAGACATGGTATGGGGGGAGGTATTTTTTTTAATGTATTTTTCATGTGCATGTGAGTGTGTGTGCACCTGGAAGTCATGGCGACCTCTTGTGACTGACCCCTGCTGGGGGCCTGGAGGATATTCAGAGAGGTGGCTGGATAAAGCCTGCCCCCTGCCTCCTGGCTCTGGTATTCTAAGGAGGTCTCCCATCCAAGTACGTGCCAGAGTCAGCCCTGTTCAGCTTCGGAGATCTGACAAGATCAGGCTTGCCTGGGCTATCCAGGTCAGGGCAAAGCAGACATGGTATTGATGCAAATACCCTGATGCAAATACGTCTAACCAGTGTAGACCCTATTTATTTAATAATCTTTTACACCCCCTTTCAGCCTTGTTGGTTGAAAGGTGGCATAAAAGGAATGCTAAAATCTTCAGTGGCAGCTTCTGGAGTATTTTTATTGGTGGCAAGAGGGGGCGCTGCGTTCCCACAAAGGGAGCCCCCCTTCTAGCCCCCCTCTCCATAGCTGAATGGTTGGGCTCCTTGAAGCAGCTGGTGCCCAAAAGGCTGTTAGACTGTCACATGATATAGCTAGAGATCTTGCGCTAGTGTCGGATCCCCAAATATGGTGTGTGAGTACCGCATGTATCTCGTTGCTTCACTATGCACACACATGCATCGTTCTAGATTATTCAGTGTAAAATATCTTCCCTTCCCTCCCTCCCAAGTGAGAGCCAGTTTGGTGTAGTGGTTAAGAGGGGCAGACTCGTAATCTGGAGAACTGGGTTTGCTTCCCCACTCTTTGTCCACACGAAGCCTGCTGGGTGGCCTTGGGCCAGTCACAGCTCTCTCAGAGCTCTCTCAGCCCCACCTACCTCACAGGGTGCCTGTTGTGGGGAGAGAAAGGAAAGGTGATTTTTAAGCCGCTCCGAGACGCCTTCAGGTAGTGCAGGGTGGGTTATAAAACCAAACCTCCTCCTCCTCGTGTGCTTTGTAGTGAAATGTTTAAATGAAGGATGCCTGTCTCCTCTGTTGCAGATCGTAGAAGAAGACGCCACTCTGGTTGAGATCGGACCTCGCTTTGTCTTAAACCTTATCAAGATCTTCCAGGGCAGCTTTGGGGGACAAACCCTGTATGAAAATCCTCACTACCAGTCTCCAAATATGGTAATAATGCCTTTTGTGTGGATGGAGTGTAGCCTGTGCCGTAGGCGGGCTGGTGCCTGCCACGACTGACCTGTTATTCAGCACTCTAGTAAAATGTTAAAAACAAAATGAAAAAAGCTGGATGTCTACAGAGGGCCATTGCCGCATCAGAACAATGGGCTTAAATTACAGTTCTTTACAGTAGGAGGAGCTCAGCAGTGGGATCAGCTGTCTAGGGAATCATAGAATCCTAGTTGGAAGGGACCTCCAGAGTCATCTAGTCCAACCCCCTGCATAATGCAGGGAATTCACAAATACCTTCCCCCAACACCACACCAGGGAGGTGGCCGTTCCCCTTCACTGGCAGTGTTCAAGCAGCGGCTGGATGAACACTTGTCAGGGATGCTTTAGGCTGGTCCCGCACTGAGCAGGGGGTTTAGACTAGATGGCCTATGTATGGACCCTTCCAACTCTGTGATTCTATCATTTCTGGCCCTTCTAGTAAGCGCTGAATGGTCTGGTCCCCCTTGGCCCCCAGATCTTCTTCAGGGTCTCACCATGATGCCAATGCAAAAGCGGTGTGGTGTATGTAGGATTGCAGAGTATTGCCTGACACAGGTATACATACCCGAAGAAGCGCAAGGCATAAGTGCAGCTGTTTTCAAAAGTGCAGTGTCTTGCGACACTCATGCAGCACAACACCATGTGATGCTACCCCACGATCGAGATCGACTCTTT